TGCCATCATTAGGGTTTAAATTTGGCTTCTTTTCACACGTCAAAAACCAAAATATGCCTACAGAACGTACATATAAACATTTCTCCCGTATGTCCATCAGATAGCACTTTCGATTTCAACGACGTATTTAACTGATTGAAGCAACTTGCGGGTTGCGACTATCCTTTAGCATCATTTTCATCATTCATATGCGCACATCAATTTTGCAGTTGTTTCCTCCAATAACAGCAAACCTATTTTTTGTGGTCGGTTCAGTTAATTAATTCATTCCTGCCAGGTAAAAGAACTAGTATTCTCACTGGTACCTATCACAAATGTAAATATCAGTCAAACCATAGTTTACAAATCTAATCTGGAAGCATGTCGTCAAATGTAAGTCAGTTTTCGATGTTGAACTCATCGGGTGCAAAAGTACAGTTGATCCGAGTTTGTATCTCAGTATGCTGACTCCATCCAAGCACGAATCAAATTCGTGGTGCTATTCAACTGTAGCTACCCACGAGACGCGGTAAAATTTAAATTCAAATTTTTATTATNTTTCAAAGCTGATGCTTACTCAGCCCCATGGAATCTGTACACACTGAGTTCGGTTGGTGGTACAATTAAATAGCAAATTATGACGTCCACTCACAGGTGCTGAAAAGTCAGGTGTTTCAATGATTCATCCAGCAGTGACTTGAATTAATCGATAGTTAGTGAGCCAACAACTTTAGTTGGAAGTGATTTCCAGGTGTTACGAACTCTGAGGCTGAAAGAATGACACCTGTAGTCTGGTCGACTCTTTTGGAGCAAACGTTTGAACGGATGTCCTCTGAGGTGGGCATTCCTGGATAGTGTTAGTAGGGTACTACACGAATAGTTAGGTAGATTTAGTATTTGATTTACGAGAATCATGTCTCTTCGTATGGAACGGTATTCAGACGAATAGAGTCTGAGAATTTGCAGTCTTTCATTGTAGGTCTTTGACTGTAACCTATTGGCCATTTTGTGGCTGTTGCGTGCGACGTTCTAGTGCCATTTTGTCGCGAATCAGCCATGGTGTCCAAACCTGTGTAACATACGCGGTGTTTGATTTAAGGTATGCCTCCGAAATTCTCAGTATGGTCGGGGGTGGTCTGGGTTTGTGACTGGTGACCCTTCCCTTGCACTTCGCGAAATGCTCCCATATGATCAAGCGTCTCAAACAACCTCTGCTGTGGAAGTCCTACTCACTGCCTTATCGTGGCGGAGGTGTTTGCTACTAAATTGAGAGAACGAAAAACCGATATCCGAGGCTATAACCGGATAGGTGAACCACTGGCAATTCACCTAGGGAAGTTGGCTAAAATCCCTGATTTCAAACCAACCGAGAGGAGGAATACGAATCACACCCGAACCTTTCCGGTTAGGGTAATGGTCACTGGCTCAATTGGGTATCGAGGTGTATTGGGCACCTTGGACGTTTGACCCCGTCCAAAGGGTGTAAAATCCGATGAACTGGACACCGGCTCCCAATGGATTGTGGTTTTCGCACGCCGCCTCAATGCCTCGCGGGTCAGGCTTTGGCTATCCAAAGGCTCCGGTTGTCGATTCTCCAAGAAAATCCACCTGTCTTGGTCTGGCGTCGTCAGTGAATAATAATAATAATAATAATAATAATAATAATAATAATGTCTTTCATCCACGGACAGCTGAGAGGTCGTTTATGAATGCTAGGAAAAGATATGGACCAAGTACAGATACTTGTGGAGCTCCACGTACAGCTTCAATCGGTCCCGATAGAGACCCTTTAACTCAAACGTATACGATATATTGTCAAAGAAATTCCTCAATCCAGTTAAGCAGTGATGGAGCTTTTGCAGCAATATACGGGGGTTAAGCCTGTCAAAAGATTTGGAAAAGTTTAAGTAGATTATGTTTACAGCTTCTCCTGCGTCAAATGATCTTATCCACGCATTTTGTGCACGTAGCAGGTTTGTGATGCAAGAGTGTCATCTTCAAAATCCGTGTTCAGCAGGCGTCTGTTATACTCCTCGAAGTGCTTCATCAGAGAATCATCAATTCTACTACTTTTGACGGAACAGGAATAGGTGCACCTGTACGGTAGATCGCAGGATCACTTCTGCAGCCCCCCTTGTATATAGGTGAAATGATACCGTGTTCCCGTGTTTTGTCGAACATACTTTGGTAAAATGAGCAATTATCTCAGATATGAGATTTGCCAAGGATGTCAGGGTCACTGGGCGGATGTTGTCTTCCCCTGGAAATGAATTCTTACGCAGAGCCAATAGTTTGGTTTGAATCGTTTCAGATATGAATTTGATGGTAGTCAATTGAAGCACTTGGCAGGATGTATTGAAGCTCTTATCGCAGGCAATAAGCACTATATAGAAATGAACTTTTAGGAAATCACCTCTTCAGAAGTAGTAGTGGAAACACGTTCTGCATGCCTAGTGCCGGTATTCCGTATTTTACTTTTCTAGTGGCATTGATATGCTTATATAGAAGCTTCAGATTGGAAATAAATTTGTGCCAGGGTTACTTGAAACCTCCGTTTATCCTCTCGCACTAATTTCACACAAAGGCTTCTAAACATGATAGAGTTATCCCAAGTGTCGGCGGTTGAACATATTTTGAACTCTCAACAGGAGAAATTCCTCTGTGACATCTATTTCTTGGTTTGACTACAGATAGATGATAACCGTGTAGGCAACGTATCGATAGGCTTGGTTTTTGCGACAACCGTTATGAGTTCTTTTAGCGTGTCAACGAATCTTTTCCGGGACTCCAGTGGATTTAGCTGCGCTTCTGATTGTGTTCATTGCATAAAAGCAGCAATTCTCTGTATTCAGTAACGGTGTATGTTGTTTTTCAGGCACATTTCTATTGAGGCCTGACAAATATAATCGAAAAGTAGAAATGCATCGTGGCCTCGTCTTGATAGAGATGTAATTTTGACCGATTCGACCATAGGCTGGTTTATACCTAGTTAAATATTGATGGTTGATGGCCTGATCCCAATCTGGTGACTCCTTTACGTAATTATACATCGGATGTGAGTCTATTAAATGTGATAAATTGAATCATGTCATCCAGAGGGAACACGATCATTTAAAGTTCAGTAAAACGAACCTCAAAAAACGACACCTTAGAAAGATTTTGTCAGAAAAATTATGATTGACGCCGATCCATCTTTAGACAAATCATCGCGCACTACAGTTAAGGTTTTGCTGCCTATTCAGAACCTCTTGACTCTTATGTGATTTGATCCATACGCATAGTACCTACCATGTTGTTGGGTTTTCTACAATATAAGTTGCTTTCCGTGATTGTGTGCACCTCTGGTCGCTACAGAACTCGTTGCACTATCGACAGCGTTGTCGGCCTACCCACAGAAACGTTTTCTGCACATCAGTTCAAACGCCTCCAGGTCTTGCATGTTTATTTCCTGCTTGCTCAAGCTTGCTTCATGGCGATCAGTATTTACAGAAGAACCCATTTTGTGAGGGTCCGTTCCGCGGTGAATTTTTGAATCTCGAAATTCTGAAGCAGCAGTATAACTAGTGGTCTAGAGATACACATGCTCAACAGTTGAATCGTACGGCACCTGTCGAGTATCTATGCAGATTTTCATTTAACTTCGAAGGATTGCGTTCATAAGCTGCTCACCAAACTTTCAAGTTTGAAACTTGGACTCATCCACAAAGAATCAGGTTGGGTGACAGATATCTTGGCTGGGGTCCAAGTCCACCCACAGATAATTTGTTTATCGATTTAAGTGAATAGTCTTCTATTTATAAGGATTGTATATGAACCCACACCTCAACTACAATAGTGAATCTTTCATCGTTCTCAGTTGCGTTGAAACGAGTTGTATTTAGAAATGATGAAAGATGGGTGCATCTTCCCTCAGATATACCTTGATTGGCAAACACTTACTGTGCTATCGTGTAGTCAATAGACTATCGATAAATCGATAATAATAACGGTTATGGTCACATTCTCGAAGTCAATCAATTTTATGTTAATCGAACTGTAAAATTGTATCGACTTTGCTTTTCGAGAGAGAAAACAAACATAATACTATTTTTTAGTTGTTCGAAAACCATGATCAGCTTGTCATCCCTCAGTGTGCAGTGGTGATCAAGCCAAATAATCGAAAGTTATTTTGTATCAGTCGCGCCGGTATGGTAAACATTCGAGTATCACTAGTGTTACTGGATAGACCTTTGAAAGCCCTCAGAACAGGGGAAACTTGTGAACAGTTTTCCAGTGGACACTCAATGGATAATATAAAGTATTGATTAAATGAGTAATTCCATCGGATCTATTGATATTTCATTGGTTTTATCCGCGGGATATTATAAGGAACTGATCCTTAAATTCGGTGTCCCATCGTTATGCTGTGCAAAACAAGATATCATTCGTTGATATCCAGATATATCTGACTGATTCCGGAATATCCCTAATTGATTGATAGACGGACGTATTTTTATTTGACAGTAATTTTATTTCGAAAATAAGTTTCTGGGAGACCATCAGTACATTCTAATGATCGGCCTCTACAGGATGCACCGAAAATGGAACCGCCCTTTCACAAGAAACCTGTGGTAACACAGTCCAGTCGTTATGAGGCAGAGATAACTAGATTCACAAAAGTAATTTCGTTCATATGAATCCGCCTAGGAGGAGCCGTCAATTTATTTAGACTAACAGATGTGAAAAGTTGCGGAGTTCGCAACCTGCTACTTTGACCGAAATTCTCTCTGTAGATTTTGTTTCAGACGTGTTTGAGCAACGATTCCCAGAGCATCGGGTCACTGAACTGACTCCCTTCGAAGAATGGGACTATGTTATGGCTAATGAACCCATCAGTTAAATCATATACCGGATAAAAATGAAAAATATTACACCGTATGAAATCTGTTATTTGTATATGGGTTACATATGACTCACTTGGGTGAGAGGTATGAACACATTACAAAATATAAGGGTGGGAGATTCCACACATTATGGACAGATCACTGGCGGTTGTTTGTGGGGTTGAAACCCGTCACTTCCCGCATCAACTTCAACGTTCGCGGATCGTGCAAGATGTATTGGTGGTCAGAATTGGGAATTTTTATCAACTTCACATTCGACCAATGGCGGCAAATTTCAGCACTTCGCAAATTCACCGTTCCGTCTCCGTCGCCGAATATCTCTATTGGAACCTGATCGGGGAAAGCAGGGCGTAATAAACCGGGTGCTCGATAGAGCAGTTGTTCTCCAGTTGATACAGACGTTCCGTACACACAATAGATCTCTTCCACACCGGTCGGACCCTGGAAAAAGTCGATTCCTTCAACTGCCCGTTTCATCAGCTGATAACCTGGAATGCGATGACGTTAACCATTTCAACCATTTTAGGAATTTCGACTCGTCAATAATAAAATGAGCCAAAAATTAAATCCTCATTTTGTTCTTTGTTTGCTGCGTGAAACGACAAAGATCCCTCTATCTTAAAACTGTCAGAAGATTTTCACTCCTTATTGAAGGATATGGTTTGATGAGTTGAAGCAAGACGCCCGCAGAAAATATGATGATTTCATCGGATTACCAGCCTGTTTCGTTTGGTTGGGTTCGAAATTCTGCTCTTGTTGACCTTTTACAGAAACAAATACCAAAATTTAATAAAGTGGTGAATGAAATATTGGTTATGCAACACACTTCATTTCCCATTATTATTATTATTATTATTATTATGTATAACTTTTGCAAGCACTGGAGCTCACATTTCAGTTAAAGAAATCATACACGCTGACTGTCACAATGTACATAATCAAGGGGGAAAAAAGTTTTCACAGGCATGGAGATATTCATAATCCAAGGTTAAGACAAAGTTCACTTATTGTTCGCTCTTTGTTTGTGAGTAGGCGAGGAAGATATGGTATGGGTGAATTGCGGTATGCATTAATTCGAGATGAAATTTGGCGGAATTGGGAGCGTGTTGAATGATGGGAATGACAAAGTGTCAGTTCTGCATCCAATGGGTGGTTCGGATCTGTGAGGATCCTCTCGGCAAATTTCACACAGGAAGTTACGTAATACTCTGAAAGCTGTAACGCTAATTCATTCACAGGAATGTAAGAGACGCGACTAATAATAGTTGGACCGCGACGTAAGACTTTGAAATCCTGTTTGAGGAAACTAGGAAAAATAACCGGGGAACAGTAGAGTGGGATGGGAAAAAACATTGATAAACAAAAGTAGAAATAACTGACTGGGATGCGCGAAACTGCGATGTGGGTTTATCAATAAAGGTTGCTATCTGTGGTTACACCAAGATATTTGACAGAGTTCACCCTGGATAAGGGATTGTTATAAATCACTGTGGGGTCTGTCAGATATGGAGAGCGAGCAAAATTATATGAACACTCAACACACTTACTGGGGTTCGGGGTTAGCCTCGATGAGGAGGAGAATGGCTGAATTTGATCAAGATTATCGGTGAAAGAACTTAGATCAGAGTAAGAAGAAATGGGTTGGTAAAACACGACATCATCTGCATATTTCAAAATACGTGCGGAAGAAACGCAGGGAATATCACAAATATGTGGCAAATAAGTATGGGGATATCACAGATCCTTGAAGGACCCCGGAGTTGTTGGCTAAGGGTTTCGATATGGCCTTCTCCAATTTCTTGGTTTGTACCCTTTTGGGAAAATAGTTGGATAGCCAAGCTAACAACTGCTTGGGGTAGTCAAACGATTCCAGTTTTTTTAACAACTTAGATCGAGGAATGGAATCAAATGCAGAAGAGTAGTCAAGAAAAACACACCGAACACACTTAGCAGAGCTATTCAACGATTTAGTGATTAAATGAATGAAGGTGGAGACTGCGTCCAGTCAGTCAATTTCAGTCAATTTAAGAGCTGAAGATGTTAATGCTATGGGACGGAAAAGTTTGGAGAGGATACAGGATTTGGATGCTTTGGGGATTAGTATGATTGTGACCGATCTCCAACAGTCGGGGATAGTAGAAGTGTGAAGAGATTCATTTACAATGGAGGTAATTTTACTTTGATTTTTACTTTGATTCGATTCCAATGGTTTGTTATGCCAGAACCATTTAACATCAATTTAAATTAATTTGCTTCCTTTTAACTATGTCACTAAGATGTAGCGTGACCATTAGTCCGAATTGGAGTAGGAAGAAACGGTTATGTTTTATCTTCCCACATATTATGAAGCCGGAATTCCATAGTTTAACGAACACCTGTCGTCAGCTCCAGTTATTACTGAGTCACTTACCAAATGGAAAGCCGATATCGTCAAAGAAACTTTGGTAATCTCGTGATGTGTAGTTTCTTTTCGGAGTGAAAACCAGTGTCTCATTCTCCGACCACAACCGGGGATCCGGTAGCATCAAGTACATAGAGGAGAAGCTTCGCTCCAACTCACGAAAAACGAGAGGTCTCCGGAAGAAAGCATTGAAATTGTCACCTAAATGCATAGGAATCAAAGAATAGATGATTGGAAAAGAAAAAGGGAACAGAACGGACGCTTATTAAAGGGAAAAGAGCTGATGTTTTTTCTTGAGCGATAAGGCCTCGCAAAACTGTGAAAACTGCATAATTGATGAAAATCAACAAGAAAAGATATGCAGTCATGTATTTCATTGGAATTGTTGCAACGAACCTCGGTGAGTCTCAGTGGGATCCCTAAAGTTTACCTTAGGGTAGTTTCAGTGAGGAAGGTTACAGTATTAGATAGAGGATCAACACAAACGTAAAACGCTTTATTCATTTTACCCTGTTGCCCCGAAACGCCTAATGTCTGCACTTAATGGGTGAGATGCTTGTTGCAAACGAACGAACCAAGTGTTTTTGTGTTCTCTCAAAGTTTGAATCGTGCATCGGAAGAACCTATCATCATTTTCAACACAACGCTGTGACGCGATTATGCCAAAAAATCAATATTCATTAATCTTAAAATGATCACTTCACTTTATTAAATAACTATGGCCCAAAATGTTTTCGACTTCTGGTGGAATAGACGAATAGAATAGACAATTAAAAAAGGGAACTGCTTCCCAGTTTGTCGATCGCTTTATTGAATGGCATAAATGTTTGCTTGAAGGGAGTAAGACTATGTAGAATCTAAGCCAATCAATGCTTTTGACATTGTTAGAAGATTGAAATGAATGCTAAATTTTGGATCAAGTCGTCCATTATGATCCGTATGATTTACCAGTTTAGTTCAATAAGTAATCCATGCATGAGCCATTAACGTACTCAGAGGATAATTCACAAGCTGACATCAAAGCAATAGTAGTGATCATCAGGTAGGTTTCGTTGGTATCCGTCGTGAAACTTACCACTNACCACTGGCACTGACTCGCAGTGTTTTCACCGACCCACCGTAAGGACCGGCAATCGATACGAACGCTTTCACATACTGTTTCTGCCATTCCACAGTCTGTTTCTTTAGGAACAAGACTGAATATAGACAGCCCATACTGTGGCCAACAAGTATTACTCTTCGCTTCCCGTTGATGTGGTATGTTTCTTCAATCAGTTGTTTCAGTCGATCAAAGAATGCCTCATTGTCGTCTACGTTGGAAAATCACAGGAGATGGTAGATAGCAAACTTACAAGGTGCTCTTCTGAAGTCATACGGAGCTCCACGAATAGTCTTGTTCGATACAAAGAACGAATCTTTTTTCAAATCATCAACCATGTCGTCAAAATATTTTCCGAATATTGTCTCACTAGGGTCCAATGTGCTAACCGTCTCTGTGTCACCCCAGCCGGGAAATGTGATCTCGTATTCCGGATTGTCGTAAGCCACCAACTGCTGATCATAGTGTAGTCTACAAAAAACAAGAGAATTTCCAATACACACATTAACTTGTTCAGACTTGCAACACTTACAACAACTGTTTGGTCACTTTTTTGAGCATGAAGAAATCTTTCAGGTTTAGCCATAAAAGTTCCGGTTTCTCGTTCTCCGGAGCTCCTTGTGGTCGAATGTAAGCTCGGCAACCACCGTCACCTGGGACAAGGACGACAGGGTGTTTGTCCGAACGCGGTAGGACTGCTCCAAAGCCCACATACACCAGTATGGTCAACTGAATTGGTTGAATTGCTCAATGTCGAGCACATGAGAATGCGGCTTACCGAGAGGATACGAGCATGCACATTTCCCGCAGGCCACCACATTCTGATTTCAAGTCACCCGACTGTTCACTGCTGCGATCGCACCCTGTTTATATAGCCGATTTGGGTAATGAGATGACGTTGAGATCACGCGTTTGTTATACTGTCTGTTTCATTGTATCTGTGTGCCTGTTTGTGTTCACACATGTGAGTTCGAGGCCAGCGTGTGCGTTTGCGTACGCGTTTAAATCGAACTCCAGGCCACGCTAGAACGGAGTTCGACCCTATACAATAAGTGATGTGTGTGTGAGAGAGAGGGAAAAAAGCGACCCTAGTGCACCTGTCGTGATATTCAAGAACAACTTAACAGTGACTAACAACTGAGAGCTAAAGATATCGTTCACGAATACCGCGATTGCATATTGCGTGCAATGATTACAGTCATGTTTCAAATGAGGTCAGACACATTTCAGGTGTGTTTCATTGGAAAAGGGAACAACATATAAGTTGAATGCAAAATCTGCAAAGTCAATTTCAATACCGAAATTAGAATTCNNATACGCATTATTCCACCAGAGCGAGTTCCCCGATGGAAAAGTTACACAAAATGCCTACGGCCCTTCGAGTAACTCAAGAACAGACTGTTTTTATTTAAAATCATGCTAGCGAAGTGTTTTGCACACAGCCTGAAACCATAAAAATGTGACATATAAATAACAAAAAGCACTAAGAACATTTATTCCCAGTCATGGATAACAAATGTTCATTGGTGATTTTCATTATCACGTGACCTTTCCTCTACTGTCCTGGAACAGTTTACTACACCTTAGCAACGTTGTTGGCATATTTTTGGCACTAATCGGCTGACTACGGTAATAGTTTGCGTTTTTCTGGGCTTTTCCACACCGCTTTTCGAATACCCTCTCAATCCTGCCGACGTTGATAAATCTGGTGTGCTTGGTTACTTGTAATTTGGGAATATGTGCGCTACATTTAGTGCAGTGAAGCAACTGGCAGTGCTTAAACATGAAGAAAAACAATTCGAGTGCATTTGTCTTCAGATCGATGGCAGTCTCAGTTGCAGTAGACGTTCTGTGGAAGATATTGTCTTATAGCCAACATCACTGTGGTGTGGAGGGTTGTAAACGGGAAACTAATTCTGTTCATTGAGCTGCATGATGATGGCCAATGGCTGTGTCAGGAAATAGCAAATATCGAAACAGCGAACGCGGGATTCTGCTTTTTTGTCTAATTCGGTTAGGAAATATTTCATTTTGCTATCGGTAATTGATTTGGCTGCTCGCGTACCATTTCAAGATTGAAAATACACTGCTCTGGTAATTCACAAAAATGATGAGTAACCTTATTTACTGGGTATCAGACCAATTTTCGTGCCTCATATATCTATCTATCTATGTATCATTATGTATATATATTATTATTAGTATTATTATTATTATTCCGATTTCTACAGTTTTTGAGCCACTTCTTTGTGTTTTGAAGAATTCATGTGGTGCCCGGCTTTGAACAGTGAAGTATTGAACCCAAGTTTAGGAAGCTACGAAAATTCACCTTTCTCTTTTAGCTATGTTATCGTCATGTACGAAAGGGATAATACTTGTTATCTGATGAAAATGTAGGTAGATGGTATTTGCAAATTTCTTTTCAGGTAAAAGAGTAATAGATTGGAAGTAGAGTTGCATCTAATTGCTTCATTTTCCGAACAAGATGTGCCATTTCTGAAAAGATAGGATTGAGTGAAGTTAGGATAGCAGTTGTTCATGCGGAGAAGTATTGGTTCTGTTGATCTATTCGTCATCGACACTGCCTGTGGTCTTCAGACATCAATCAGAAGGACATTCACGGTGGACGCTAGTTATCTGATTCATTTTCATGAACGCAATCTGCGCATAGACATTCCGCAAAGCAAGTGATGTATACCGTTTACTGCTTGACTCTTATTACCCTCATTTCCCAACCCACTACACCTACAGGGCAACTCAATTCCTACCGAAATATAATGTCATACAAAGTCACTGTAGGTTTCTTGCGGTGCCCTCATTCCATTTGCGACGATCGCACAAAGATGTGGTCATGAACAAAGGCAATAAAGCGGAATCGCGTACACATGCCTTCTGATTAAATGAGCCATGTTCTCGCGTTCATCCGTAGACACACACATCAGCCAAAGCAAAAGGGGTTACATATCACTCAGGTTAATTTGAGGTCCAAGTGATTTATGCTCTGATTGGTAGAGAAGCATGTTTGTTCCTGAAACTCTGATTGGATCACGTTAAAAGCTAATTTTAGTGAATAATGAGCAGGAGTAACTGTAGTTTAAACTCTGTCCTCAATGAGGTGACAAAATGACACTGAAATACTACTGACCATTCTGCAGAATTATTGCCCAAAGTGGATGCGAATTATATAGACGACGGGTTTTCCACACTGTTGCGGAACTGAATTTTACCAAATATTTAGGGAATCAGTAATGATCTGAGTTCAGCAGTTGGACTAGTTTCATTCGTTAGGCAATCTTGTCCGTTCATTAAATGAGGGCAGTTGAATTGGATCGTACCTCGTATATCTTGAAGGCTTTTGATCAAGCGAACTATAAATCTTGATATGTGTATGAAACGTACACGCGCCCTTTAATGTGGCCGAATTATATCTGCTGAGTTCAACAGTACACGTTTGTATACACCTTTTCGTATCAAGCTTTCGCTAAAACCGGCAATCCTTTAGCCTCGACCCGTAAACCTTTGGCCAAAATCCGAACTACTTTAACCAAAACCCGTAGTCCTTTAGCCTCAAAGCACAAACTTTAGTCACACCGCAGTAGACGAGTTAGATCAAAAAGTTTCGAAAGATTCTGAAGTCAACGGATGTTTAAAAAATTACTTTCTATAAATGTTGCTGTTGCAAAGTTGGGTTAAGAAATAAAAAGGTGTGGGGTTTGCATGCTGCAGCACATGTTGATTGGAGGAGCTTTAACTGATGTGCCCGTATCGTNGTTTTCGTCTAACACGTGATACTCATAGGAGTAAAAATCTCAAGCGTAACTCAAACGATACATTGTTTTGCATTCACACGCCCTGAAATAAATCAAAAGGTATATGCTTACTGTTTCGTATATCCACTTAACGGGAACTCTGTTTTTGACATATGGATACAATAAAAGGTCGAGGATAATAAACACTGTTCACAAAAGACCCCTTTAGAACACCGTTTCCCAAGATGCTATAGACAAAAACCAGTAAACCTCGACCGTGGTAATTATAACTTAAGTTGCATCGGTAATAGACTGATGATAGTTATGGGGGTGTACTTTTACGAACGGTTTGTTATCCTTAGCAGGTTTTTGTATCCCCTTCTGATGAACAGGATTCACTTGTGAATGCAAAACAATGTATCGTTTGAGTTACGCTTGAGATTTTTACTCCTATGAGTATCACGTGTTAGACGAAAACAATGAACTGTAAGAGATGTTTCAAATGGTTTGACGATACGGGCACATCAGTTAAAGCTCCTCCAATCAACATGTGCTGCAGCATGCAAACCCCACACCTTTTTATTTCTTAACCCAACTTTGCAACAGCAACATTTATAGAAAGTAATTTTTTAAACATCCGTTGACTTCAGAATCTTTCGAAACTTTTTGATCTAACTCGCCTTGTGCTCTGAGGCTAAAGGATTACGGGTTTTAGCTAATGCTTGCGGGTTTCGGCTAGAGTATTTCGGGTTTTAGCCAAAGGTTTACGAGTCGAGGCTAAAGGATTGCAGGTTTTGGCTAACGCTTGATGGGAAAAGGTATAGAATGCTGGCCAATACCAGCAGATAGGACTGACGTCCATTAATAGCTTTCTTTGAATTATATATAAATCCAAGTATTGATTCATAACAGTGGAGGATATTACCTTATTGAAACGATCTCGAAATTTATCTCCGTGCATATCTGGCTGTTTTATTCATTGCTCTTTTAGTTTATGGCAAAAGGTCACTAATCATATTATGTAAAGCAATACTGTATAACTATCCCCAATTCCCTTTTGTACTTATCTTCCTACACTACCTCATACGGTGAATCTTTTGCTCCGTATCTAGCCAAACTATTCGCTTACTGAAAACAACCAGTGGATGATTTAAAACAGGAGATTGATTGGACAAATTCAAACCACCCGGTTTATCATCGGGGAACCCTACTTCCATCTGTACCGTACAAAGATTTTTAATCGAAGTATAACCAGTAAGGCACCGAAAATGTGTCTACCGGACTTTGATTAAATCTGTTAGGTCAGGAAATTGAAAAACATAACCCATGCATCTTTTTGTGCCGCATTTTTGATTGCTATCTTTGGGCTGTCCATTCAGATGATGCAGTATGAGAAAGACGGGAGAGTTGAAAATAGTGTGGAATAGAAAATGGAGACTTCCAATGGACTAGGGTTGTGATCAAATTGCGAAGATGCAAGAACGCCACTGTTTACGACTTTTAATGGTATCACTCACCGTCTCTAACCATTGAACACAATGATCCCGAGGTCCCCATCCAAGGAGCCTAACTTGACCTATATGACCGAGTCTCCTGATTTTCATGTTCTCGTGTCATTACTTTGGCCATCCTTGGCTTTTGTCCACCCTTTACCTGCGTCGGAGCATGCGTGTCGCATGCATAACACACTCCCAACCAAAGTAATCCATGGAGGTTGACCACTTGTTCCAGTGAAAGACCGCGTTTGCTGAATCTCTGCGCCTCATCTCAGTATTACTCGGCTGGTTTTCCTACCAGACTCGGGCAATGCTATATAGACAGCGGTGTTCAAACCTCAACAGGATATTTCTATCCTGTTTTCCTAATAGTCAAGTGTTATGCATAAACTCGAGCCTTCACGGACAGCTGGATATCGCGACGACGCCTCAGATGTCTCAAGTCGGCAATTTCCAATCAAGCCTCCTGTATACCAGCTGAATTTTCATCCATAATGTCTCCACCGGGTGAGATATAGCTGCTAAACAACAAATTTTGTCCATTTGCTCTGATACGTTCTCTGTTACAGTTAGGCTGGGTGCTCGACCTACCCGGTGTTGTGCTAACATTTGACACTGTGCGGGCACAAGACGCATACCGAACATGGCTATACTGGTGCTCAGATCACCCGAAAAGGCGTGCAACTTAAACGGATCTTCAGAAAACAGTGAAATGTCGTCTGCATACTCCAAATCAGATCGTCCATCATTTAAAAGCAAGTTAATGCTGCTATCCTTGCACGAGGATAGGGCTGTTTCCATGATCAAATCCATAAAAAAGTTAAGTAGAAAAGGAGAGAGAGAGGGTAACCCTGAAGAACACCACTTTCCATGGTGAACTGGAGCGAAAATAAGCCGTAATCTATGACTCGGCTTCGGCCAATAGTATTGTGAGAAATATTGGAATAAACGTTTTGGGCACACCCTTCCGGGAAAGGTAAAACTGGTAAATCTCTGTGTCATATCCGATGGGGGTCGTAAAATCGGAGGCATATGGAAATTTTCGTGGGTGAGAAGAAGAAGGAAGGAAGCCCAGGTAACCCGCTCCTACATCTATCTAGTGGGATATTCTGACCGGTAAACCGTCCCTCACTGAACTGACTTCGCCAGGGGTAAGCATGGGTGCACAAAAGAAACCAAAGAGTGCTCACGCAGCTGGACGCGTGAGACAGAGCTTTCTCTGATATCCACCCACTGACTTTTCAGGCATGATTGTACCTGCGGCTGTGAAAAGCCAACCCGTATAGCTCGCACGGTCATGGAGGCACACAAGCCATCATATAAAGCCAATGTGCAGTTTCGTCGTGATGGGCCTTTCGGATAAGAGAGGATGAAGTAGAAATAGTCACCAGATGGGCTCGGAGGGTCAACCTTTTGAATACTAGCTAAATGAGCATATCGGTTTGCGTATTGTATGCGTTGATACTACTATACGATCATAGAGAAGATTACATTTTGAAACCTGAGCTGTCTTTAACTGACTAACACCTCAGACTATTAGTACTTTTGAACTCGAACAATTCAGGTGGTTTCGATCACTTTTAGTGAGTTTAATAAGTTGAAATTGTTGGAAATCAAATTCAACGTTACGAGGATGCACTTTTGAACACCGGAGTGACATTTTGAACAGACAACATTCTACTTTTTTTATTTTTCTTCATACTGTTTTAAAAATGGTACAACCTTGAAACAATTTTCACAATTCTTTGTGAAGCTTTTCCTTTTAGATTCAGTGTGTAGCTTGGGAATAAATGCACTGTTTTCAATGAGAACTCTAAAATGCACTCAGCATGTCTTACATGCGCAAAACGGAAAAATTGAATATACTTTATACAGACTCTCACTATTCTGTAGTTACGATCAACCGCAAGAAGTGATTTGTAACTTTGTTAATCTTTATTCTTCCAGTCGAGTAAAGTGCTATTGTGAACACCCAATGATGGTTATCTGTAACTGCACTGAATTTCGTTCATCCCGTTATTCCGTCAGTATGCTGAACCCAAAATTTAAAAGACTTAGCGCTATACGTCTCAAGACATTTTCCCCGTGATACATGGAGTTTTACCTTGTAACCGCTTTTTAAATCTCATCGGAACACAGTAAACGGCAAATGTATAGAGTCAGCTACTAATCACAGGGCTGAACTTCCACTAATTTTAAATATGCGTCGGCGCGGGAGTCAGAATAATGCGAGCGAATTCTCTCGATACAGTAATATTACCGAAACACCGCGGCAACTTTTTGGCTGTTTGAGGCTTTCGTGACGGAAACCGCTATACTTCGTCCACCCCCGAATTGACAAATGGAACTAGAGGCTGGCAGACTGAAATCGAACATCGCTGACACCACAATTACGCATTGCCCCAAACAAAGTTGTTTATCCCAATCTGAGTCAAGAGATATTCTGCACCTTAGACAAATGGCAGTGCCACTTCATTCGCCTTATTTATGTGATGTCTTAGGAAGGCCTATGCGATGAGAAGTATGGATAAGGAATAACTTTTGTTTCCTTGACGCAAACCTTGCTTGCAATCGCAGAAAAGAAAGAACGAGGAGGTTGTTTGGGTGAGAATCATAACGCTGTTTCCAGAGTGTGGCGGAGATATTCGTCTGAAAAACGGAATAACTGATACGAATGTGAAGCAAAACAGTTATTTCTCCCGATTGTGTTTCGACCAATAAATTGGAAGTATGCGCCACACCATGCACCCATGAGTACACCCGAACTCAGACATGCTTCACCAGAAGTCCTGGATGAGACCATCTTCAAATCTACGTGGGTTTACAGTTCGAGGATCACCTTAAACCGACTAGCTCCCCCCCCCNCCCCCATTTGCCGCGGAGCAGATATAAAATGAATCATTTATGGAGCAAACTGTCATGCTAAACGTCATTGTCTATCGGCTTCGACTCTGAACTCTGTCCTGTTGCACAAACCATTCAAGTGGTTTGTTCATATATGCAGTGAGTCATTGTGCAGGCCATCAATCACTGGAGGAAGCATTGAAGGGGCACTAAAATCTGCATGGACTAATTTTTAAGCAGAACAGAACAAATATGGATCAATTCTGTGAATTATCGAGGCTTAATTACAGGTTACTAATGTTCCCACCAGGAATGAATACTGCTTGGTGATTATTTTGAAAATGAAAGGCGATTCAGCCTTATCAGACAAAAGATGAAATTCGCAAGTGGTGCAAGTTTCATCCTACGTAACCAACGGGTCTGCAGAAAAGTAATCTAAATTTGGGCCTTGTAATATTTGTGACGTGGTACCTACTCTAACCATCTAAAAAGTTAATTGTTGACTTTTTGCAACGAAAGCACTCCCATGATCAATGTAACCTTCATCGCTAATTCAGACCCGAGGAACTCATATGGCAAACTATCCAAAGGCTTCGTGATAGCGCAACGGATGATAAAATACCCCTAGGGTAAATTTTCTTTGGAATGGCAAAATGCGTCCACTAGTAAGAATGGTGGCACTTACACGGATAAAATGAGTGACTGCGAAAGTCAAGCCAATTTAGGAAACGCTTTAAGCACCTAAAAGGTAAATTCTCAGCAGTTCACGAACTTGTATAATGGATATATAAAAGTATGAAGATCAAAAACAAAATTACAGAAATTATATTCGATATTGTAGAAAACAAGAAAACATCAATACAAGCACCCCTTCCAGAAGTAGGTGACAACTGTCTCACGGTTAACCAATGCATTGAAATACACTGTTTCTATGGTTGGAAATACATGCAGGAAGGAGCTAACATTTGGAGCGTGTTCAGGGATTTGACATGGCTGTCACAGTGCAATCAGTGCGCTCGATCAAGTGGTGTTCTGTCAATAAAGATATCACAGTCCGTTAAATACTAAAAAACTAAAAAATCTATCAACTCCACAGTAACGGGAGAAAAGTGCAAACAATATGGAAATCAAGACAGAATCTTTTCTTTCAGACCAAGAATAAATACTGGAGAGCATTATAGCCAGTGTTGTGGGATGCAGACAACCACGAATTTAAGAATGAGATTATGGTGGACGGCCAGTTTCCTGACTTTGTAAATGTCACTAATGCAAGATAACGGGAACCAATTCTAAGACTAGAAGGAACGTCAAAGCACTTGTTGATCAAAACTAAAAGCCATCAGGATACAGACCAACTGTTTATTGCAGCTGTCCTGGAGAGTCCAAAAATTGTCTGATCTAGGGAATGGACAATAAATTAAAAGATCATCAACAGACTTCCTGGCAACGGAATTCCTAGAAAAGGGGAGATTCTTTTCGTACATAGAAAAAAGAAAAGTGGATAAAACAGCATCCTGAAAAGCACCAGTATCGGTGTTCATGGAAGACTACAATGAGTCTTCAAATCGCGTTAACTGGGTCCTGCGGGAGAAGTAGTCAATTAGAATATTAAAACCGAATGTGTCAGCCCACAAAAGGAAACGCATTCTCATAGCACTCCTCAGTCGATAGAACCAAAGGCATTGTCACAATCAAGAAAGTCGAACAGGCGACATCTGCACCTTTAGTGAGGACGGATAAAACCGAGCAAATAATAGGAGCAATAGCCTCTGGTGTGGACGGATGGGATTGGTAAACACACTGCAAACAGATCATATGAGCTACATAGAGGTGTTATGATGCTACGAAAATAATCTCGAAAGCTTGCAGCGACACAT